TTGGTGTTTCTTTGTCTGGCAATAATTGTCCCTTAGTTGAGATTTCATATTGGAAATTGACCTTTGCGACCCATGCATCACCCTGTGGCGGGTCCAGATAGGAGGAGAAGGAGGAGAATCTCCTTGGATGCACGAGAAAGTTGCTTATGGAAACCTGATTCCAAAGCAGAATATAGCAATAAACTTACATTGTACTAAAGCATTTCTGCGCAGTTGCTAGGATTTGAAGGAAATTTTTAATGCCCTACTGAATACGTGATCCTGTTCTGAGATTGGTGCTGTCACTGTTCACACTCACTTGCTATAGATGGGTGACAGCGTTTGAGAAAGTGTCGGAGTTTTTGGTGGTGTCTCAAATCCTTAATAATGAAGAGTCCTTTGAACCTTAGCCCTATTAACAAAGCTCTGTGTTTAATAAATACAGTACTGCAAATAGGTCAAGTGGCAAACAAGTTTTAAGAGGCTTGCTCAGTGTCAGTGTCCGAGATGGGGGAAAATATTCTGTTGCCCATGCCTTAGTCTGTCAGACAAGGGAAGCATAGAGCTGTGCAGGTAGCAATCACGAATAAGTTACAGCGTAAATGTGTCATAGTGTGTTAACTCTGTAGTGTGAATATTATGGGAAAACTGCAATAAGTAAATATTGCATTAAAAAATCCTAACACGTGTAATATTGAATCACATTCTTCGTGAATGTTTTTTGTCCCTTTTCAAGGTCATATGCTAGAAAAAGATAAAGATTTATTTTAAGCTTTGGCTGAGTAATAACATACTTGTGAAACATGTCTGTCTGCAGGTTGAAAAGTGTTTCAGAATTTTTCTACTTGGGAAAACTAAAGTTGAAGCAGCAGTGCACTGTCTTTAAATTACATCCTTGTGAATGTAATTTAATGTTTTCATACCTTTCTAAATTATAATTATGTCATGGAGTTTTTTGAGACTAAGAAATCCAGGATGTTTCTTTAAAAGTCGTGACTACTGTGTGTTTTCACTTTCTAGCAAAGTGCACCTTTTAAAATTTCTTTCTTTTCTTTTATATTGATTTCAAAAATACAGGTTTTATTATGATAATTTCGTTAAGCAGACTTTTACTCGTTTTCATCAGGCTTCTAAAAGGAAACACTGGGATAATTTCAAGATTTCATTCTCTAATAATACTGTCTCTCTAATAATAGAATCTTTGGGTTCTTAAATTCATAAGTGTAGAAATAAGGCTGAATCATATCTTTAAAAAGGGGTAAGGGATATAAAATGCCATCACTTCTAATCACAGAATTCCATAAATTACAATAAGGTTTCCAGCTATTTGAAATAAGTGTTTTGCAGTCATGTGAAAATAAAGTTTTATATTCTTAAAAAATAAATAGTTGTTTGTTTTCTTTATATGGGAAACAGAGGCAGTGTTAGCAGCCTTAGCATGGGCATCAAGGCATTCTCCATTCTCTGTCTTTTCCTCTCCTCTTAATGTGTTTTATCAAGTCATTTCTAAGTTTCTTGCTGATGTTACCTGATGAAGCTGGCTTTTATTTCAGTTTAAAAAGGGTGTATTTCAGTTTAGATTGGAATTCTTGTTAGATATAACCTGATCCAGACAATAACTTTTTTTGTCCTAATTTAACTGAATTGGCTAAAACTAAACCGAAGGTGCTCTTTTCTGTAGGCAAGCCTTGATCTTTTGAACTTTGGTTATTACACATTTCAAATGATGCTACCTTTCCATGTCAGTATTTTATATGGCTGTATTATCCTCCCTCCGTTTGTCCTTTGAAACAGTAGTTGCTGTAGCAGAACCAACGTTTTTCTGGCCCTATGAATGTAAAAGGTTTTGGAAATTAATTTCCTAGCTTTGAATGATCCGTAATGCTTCAAAGTGAGCTGACCGTCCCTATTCTTGTTTTGGTACCTTGTGCAAGTGACCTTGGTACTTTCCAGAAGGATAAAACAATCAGATACCAAATTGTCTGACCATGTATATTTAGTATGCTATTTTGGTATTGTATCAGATATGTTCATTTACTTTGTGAAGAAAACTTACCAATTTGACAGTAGGTTGTAATATGTTGACATATTTTTTTCTGCCCTTTTATGATAGAAAGCCTGTAAGAAGCGTATTTTGTAGAAAGCAAGAGCAGTCATAGTTGAGTTGTGACTACTGGTTTATGGTAGCTTAAACAAGAAGTTGCTTTCTGTTATACAGTAGGTGAAGTAACCTTTGACTTGTTAACTTTGAATTATTTAGACATTGTGATGCTTCACTTAAATGGTGATCTTTGTGATAATTGTTTAAAAAAAAATAACATGCTAAATTAGATACTTTTTTTTATCATTATAAGGCTGTCTTTCTGGAGGTATAAGGTATGTTGGGTAACATGTGTTTCTTTTTCTTAGAACCAACACAGATATACAGATTTCTACGTACCCGGAATCTAATAGCAGTGAGTAATTGGTCTTTATCATTCCTTTACTTTGGACTTATAGGAAATTTTAATTAAAGCATAACCTTTTTTTTTTTTTTTTTTTTCCCCTGGTGCAGCCAATATTTTTGCACAGAACTCTTACTTACATGTCTCACAGAAACTCCCGGACAAATATCAAAAGGTAAAATTGTTTTTGAAAAGTAATCCTAAAATGTTAACCAAGTAGCAGAAGTCAAAAAAATAGTGGAGGGTGACCTCCTCTTTTTACATGGTGTGTAAAACGTGATATTTTCTTTTTGAAGAACTTAAGAAATGCATACATCCCTTCACAGTTGATTTCTGAGACCTAAGAACTTTTCTGCAATGTTAAGGGGGCGTATGACTTTATGGTTGTGGCTTCTGTTGATGCTGGGAGTACTCAAATGTGAATAACTATCTGCAGAATCCTAACTAGTTCTCTCATATTTGTTTTCTGTTTTGGGGGAGAACTTCTTAAAAAACGAAGCAGGCTGTATAACATCTAAGCTTTTGTAATCAATGGTGCTTGATCATAATAATATGAAACTTTATATTTTAAACTGTAACCTAACTGCTTATTAAAAAAAAAAAAACAAACCACTGAAGTATTGGTTTTGTTAATTAGTCTTTGAAGAATCTGGTAATTATTTTAAAAGCTGAAAAATGAATGAGGTCAGTTTATAGCATTTTACAAAAAAATCCAGCAAACACTTTGAAAAGGTTACTTTGAACTGGGTACATCTCAGAAATGGGCTTCAGTTTTGACATTGCAAAATAGTCATTGCTATCATGTGAGGTGCTAAAGCTACATGTCAACAGACTTTAAAATATATAAATACTGCAGAGTGAAAAGTGCAGTGTGAATTATTTATTAGCAGAATCATGAAGTCCTTTCACTTACTTTCCCCTCACTGAAAATCATTTGTTACACTTTGGATTTTTTTGTAGCCTGAACACATATTTTAAAATATTTTAACAATAAAGTTCTTATCACTTGGAAACAGTTGCTGTGGGACTGAAATACTTAATCCTGAACACTTAAGGAATAGCAATAAAATCTTGATTATGCAGACAGTTCTAATTTAGACTATATTTGTATCTAATGAAGGTAATATTTGAATGTTGAGCAATAGAGTTTGCGTATCTTTATTTGCATTCAAGAAGCTATATTTGGTATTCTTGGGTCTCTTGGATATTGTTTAATGTTCTTGCCATTAGCTTTAATGCTACAATACAACTTTTTCTTAAAACTGAATCCGTAATGTACAACTTCAGGTACTTATGTAATGATGAGATTAATTTTTTTTTAAAAAAAAAAAAGGTGAAGTTGCTGTTTACTTTTTCCTTACAAAAATTACTAAAGTGAATTGTTTGCTTATTTTAAAATAAGGCAGAGTCAAATTATTAAGAAATAGTGTTCAGGGTGGTTTTGTTTTTTAACTAGAATTGTGTATCAGGAAGTTCTTGCTTGTAATTTACATTAACTTATAGTTGATGGAAATGCATATGTTCTTTTACCTGAATCTGGTTTTTTGGATATCTGCTGTAATTGCTGGGAAACAAGAAATCGTACTTTGCATGTACATTGTGTTGTCCACTGTTCCAAATTCCAGTTTAGAGTCAGCTGCACGAGTAATGCTTAGTTCCTCTTTGAAACATACTGATTTTTACTAGTTCACTTAACACTTTGTCTTAGAGCTGTGATTTTGATTAGGTAGTGTTCTAATAACAGGTAGATTAATAGCAGTTTCAGTCACATCAATAGCCATATTCTGACAATACTGACTTATTGAAATCATTCTGGTAATTTGGTCTAGTAAAATTAAGTAAAACATTTCAGTATGTTTTCTTTATTAAAACACAATAATGCAACAGAAATGAGCTGGCATAGTGTGTGTGTGGGGGAACAGAAAATAATTGTGAAGAAGTGTGGTGTTCTCCCCTGGGTTCCCCCCTCCCACCTTTCCATGTTCTGTCAGTACCGTGGTCCTTCTCTTTCAGCCTAGTTAAAACCATGAAAGTTGTAGTTTAAAGGTAGTTTGGACTATTTAGATGTAGTAGCAAAACTGAGCAACTGAGGCAAAGCAGTCTCAACTGAATTTCCATAGAGGATGTTAACAGAATAGTTGTTTGCTGATCTGTGCTGGTAAACACTTTCAAATATGCACAAGACCTTAATTGCCATTCTTCATTCAGTAGGAATTGTTAAGGTATATGACCCTGTTATTCTGGTGAAAAAGGACTTTAAAAGAGGAAAAAAATACCTGAACTAGAGTAGAAAGATCTTCCTGAGGCTTACATTAGGAAAAATTTATGTACCTGGCTTCAGTATAGTGAAAGTGTTAGTAGGGTTCTCTTTGCAAAGAAGTATCTTTTGGAACTGCATCATTGTTAGCCTGCTTATGTGGACCATGACTATACATGTCTATTTATTTATTTATTCCCTTAGAACTTCTTAATTCTGCCACTTTTTAAATGCTGATCATTGTTTTGATTGCCATTTCAGTAAAAGGTATTATATGTAAAATATAAAGAACTTATCTCCGAACTTTATAGAACTTACCTATCACAATAGTAATTATAGCTCCACATCTTTTATCTCTAGCTCTACGGTAGTCTGAGAAAAATGCCAGACAAATTTATCACTTGGAGGTAGGGAAGTAAAACTGCATTTTTATCAAGAAATTATCCGTTGATGTCGGTCTGTATGTTTTATACTGAGAAAGTGTTTATAAAGACTAGAATGCTTAGAGTGTAGAGAAATGTTGATAGGGAATAAGTTAATGGGCATGTGTCAACTTGGGTTAAAGTATTGAAGTTGCTGCTTATCGTTGGAGAGGTAATATGCTTTGGTCAAGTGATACTTGATGGAGTTGAAATGAACTTTCCACCTGTGGGTCTGTCTTCAGGTATTACTATATTATTAGACCAAATGATGGTGTTGGAAAGAAGTTACTAACTGTTAATAAAAGTTGCTTCCCATACAGTGTTTGGATAAAGGAATCATTTTTTTATTTACTGGTAGAGTAATGGCATGCTATGATGTGACTTTTAGTACTTCGTTAATTATTCCTGTGCTTGACTGGAATAAGAGTGGGTGGAGAAAGGAATGGACAAGATGCATATACTCGTGGCACAAGTAAATGCTGTCTTGAAAATTCTGGGTGTTAGGGGTGGTCATTACAAAAACTTAATTTTTTTAAGTTAAGGGAACATGGTAACATAAAAATAGTAATTCAGTTTAATTTCTGTTAAAAATTTCTATATTTTTTTATGTTTTTACAAGTTGACTTCAGAGGCAACGATTTTGATTTAATGGGTTTTTTAGTTGCTATTTTTAGTTCTTCTGAGAGGTTTTATTGTTTTATTTTTTTATTTTTGGGAGGACTCTCTACTTGTTCTAACCTGAGTTTGAAATTAGGAAAGATTGTGTCGTTGTTCTTTTTGGATCAATAATGCCCACAAATATTAAATGCAAGCTGTGTCAGATATTAGTATATTTTATGAAAGATTGTTAAACTTTCCCCCATTCCTGAAACATGTTTGTCTCTTAGCTGGTTTTTGGCTCATATTCTGATCATGACATAACTTTGCTCTAGAGCTGTTCTAAGCCATTCTTTAGTCTGAAGAAAGCCTTCTAAAGATAAGTGTACTACTTGCTGTTCTGCAGAGCAGTGGCTGATTTTGATGAGCTTGGGCAAAGTGCAGGCAGAGAGTTTTTTACCTTAGAATCTGAAACTTTCAACAACTTCCTTCGTGCTTAACATCTCTTGCTTAAAGTGAACATTGCAATGCTCAGCTTTAGTCCCGCGTTTTAGAGTAGGTGAGGCAGTTTTTGAATCTGTCATCTGTGTGAACTTTAGGCTGAGTTGGAACTTTGAATCAGGGATTGTTTACTGCACAAACGATAATTATTTTTCTCCTTGTTATCTGATTGCAGCTCTATACTTGTGTAGTGTTTCTTGTCCAGTGTTACTATGTAGCCACCATGCCATTTGTAACTAAATCATTCAGATACATTACAAGCTGAATGTGGACAATGTACAACATCAGCGTTTCTTCAGTCAGGACATTTTTGTAGACGATGCTTCCTACTTCCCCAGACCATGTCGTTCATTGCTTCCCCCACAAGAAATCCAGTATTTGACAATAGCTTATGTACTTCTTGTTTCATTTTTCTAAGGTATACATATAAGGAAGGATGCCCTTACAACTCTAGTCAAGGGCAATTTTGTGGGCATCTAGGTCCAAGCATTTATTTTCCTTTAAAGAAAAATTGAAAGACTATTCTGGGAACTATTGAATAAGTTCTATTCATGAGTGAACTTTATTTAGCAATGAGCATTGAATTGTATGTATGGTAGAACAGACTGAACATACGAGCATGAACAGACTGATGTCAGAATTATGGAGAGAAATGATTTGAAGTGATTATGACATTGTTGTCATTGGTTGTTGTCATTCCCCTTGATTTCCTGTGAGTGTGCTCTAGAACGAGCTTCAGAACTCATTGTTCTTTGTATTGCGTCCATTTGATATCACTTTGTGCAGAAAGGGTTTTTTTTATAATTAGGTTTTTAACTGTTTTTTTAAGTGTTTTTCATTATTATGATCAAGATTAAAATAGTAGTGACTGAAGTGCTGACACGTAAATTCCTAGTAGGTATAAGTGTCACTAAAGTGAGAAGATTTTCTTTGACCAAAGCTAAAATGTGGTTAGACGTGTTCATTGCAAGGTTTGAATACCGTACTGTTAAATGACACTTCTTATGAGCAGCAGGATTACTTCTGAAAGATCTGGTTTTAATTCTTTATATTATTTTGATACTGCTTGAGGACCTGTATTTCAGTTGAGTCACTGCAACATGTATGGGCTGCTAGGCCTAAAAAGGTATAAAAAGGGTACTTTCTGAACAGAAGTTGAAATTGTATAGACAGTTTTAGATTGAAAACCAAGTCAAAGTTTAGGCTGAATAAATTTTCTTGTTATATATTATGGGAATAGTGGCTATGTGAAACTACTCTTTCTGCTTTTTCTTCATAGGAAAACATTCAAAGTAGATGACATGTTATCAAAAGTAGAGAAAATGAAGGGAGAACAAGAATCTCACAGGTACTGTCCTGCATATGTATTTGTGTGCGTATGTACAAATGAGCACATGCATGCGTTAAATCAAAAGTATTTTTTATTGATAAAATTATAAAGAGTAATTATTAGAAGCAAGGTACTTACTGTTTCAAAATGTTGCTTCCAGAATCTTAAAATGTGTGTATGTGTGCTGGTCACTTAAAAACTTGGAGAGAAAAACTTTCAATATTTGTCATGCTGCCTCTTAAAATGTGTATAGAAGCCTCAATAAGTATTTGCCTTAACTTTTTTTTTAAGACTGTCAGTTGTGTCGGTAATTAATCTTAAAAAAAAAAAAAAAAAACCAACAAAAAAACCCAAACAGCCAGCCTCCCCCCCCAAAAAAAAAAAAAAAACCCAACCAAACCACAGAACCACAGATTTGGGAAAATACCATGAAGTTAGACTCTTTGGGGTTTATATGGTTGTATTCTTGCTATGTTTAACCTTATGTTCATACTTACATTAAAAAAATAATAATAAACACCACACACACACACACAAAAACAAACCACCCTGAAACTTTTAACAGTATTTAAAAGATCTTGCCTATCTCAAGCCGTAATAGGGTAGCTAGTTATAAAATGTTTTCATTAAAGGCTGTGAGACTCACAATTCTCCCTTCTACTTTTCTTGCAAGAAGTATTGCTTAGTCTGAGATTTTTCTTGTGGTCTGACCCCACATATATCTCATGTTGAACCTTTGCATAGTTCTATCTGAATAACAGTGTCCCCTCTTTAACAAATAAATAATTTCAAGTCTTAATTCCATTTGGAATTGTCATTTGAGGGGCAACTTACTCTGTGAATTCTAATTGTGAAATAGTAACTACCTTCATACTGGTGTATCTATTGGTTTGGTCATGTTAACTTTTTTTCCCCCACAAGAGTTTAAATTATGTAAAGCACTTAAATGTTGGATAAAATTCTTATTTTATCAGGTCTTACTACTGTTCTTCAGAAAAAAAACAACTGAACTCTTGCTGAATTTGTCATATTGTATTTGGCAAAAGTCAAAAGTTCAGCAGAGATGTGAAACTTGGGAATGATGTGTTTCAGTTCGTTTGCATCCTGACCTGTCTTTGTAAGGACAGCAAAAGGAACGCACAGCAAATATGCCTGGTCTGTTTCTTGAAGCATTTCCTAGTGCTGAAATAAAATGGTATGACAAGCTTATTCACTGAGAAGTGATGTAGCATACAATGTGTTTGTGGTATTTGAGTGTGGTAGATGATGACCATAACAATTTTTTTAAATTATATTCTTTCTATATGAATTAGTTAAACACCTAAGCTTTTTGTGGAAGTACATATGATGGAAATTAACCAATCCATTGTAGGACTTTGGGAATAATTTTGTTCTAATATATACAATTCAGTCAGGGATCAGTTTTAGTCCTAAAGGTTGGCTTTGTGTTCTTTTTTGGTAGAAAAGCTGTAGATAACTTGCTGAAACCCTTCTATTTAATGTACTGAATAGATCACGACATGCGAAGCATTCTGGAAATTTTAAATCAAAACCAGGCATTTTAAAGACTAATCTAAGTTACTGGAATGTGTGAAGACCTGTTAAGATGGGTTTTTGTGGTGTTTGCTTGGTTTTTGACCGGCTGTTCTTTTTCCATAGTGTTTGCAAATAATTAGACTACTTAAGAGGCAACCAATAATGATGCTAAATACAATTTATTCTGAAACAAATGTATAAATATTGTGTTCTAAGAGGTTTTGTAGATTTACTGTATATTATTTTTCTTAATTATCTTTTGCTCCATATATTGTGACTACTTGCTAAGTAAATATTCTCTTTTTAAGGATAAGGATCATGTTGAAACAAAATAGAATATTGATTTGTGTGTGTCATTTTTGTGCTTTCAAAACTATGAAAAAAATGTACTTTAGAATTGATCTGGAAAAGTAACATGAATGAATGATGCAAGTTGGTATGGATGCAGTCTTTTGAACGCTCAAGATGTTGGGCACTTTCACTAATATCTCAGTGCTCTTGGGAATGTTTGTGTTTAAAAATAGGCGTTGCATGTCAGGTTGTATCTTCCTGAGAATTCAGTGAAGGTACTTAAAATCTGGTGTTCTAGCATAACGTGGTATTTTGCTCAATACTATGTACTTCAGAAATACCAAGTGGTTTTGAGACACATTAATCTAGGTTTATGAACGCTCGCATTAAGTTGAAATGTATTCTGAATTTAACAATTTGAAATAAAATGGCTGTACAGTCAGTAGAATAGTTTAGGCTATGAGCTGCAATGCTGTGAAACAAGAGAGATGCAATTATTATTTTGATTGCATATGTTATGGATTATATGGACTTGATGCGACAGATAATCTCTATTTCTAAGGCTGTAGCTTCCCCATTGTAAAGATTCTCCTTACCAAACTTAAAATACTTGTTAAAAAAAAAAAAAAAGGATATCAAGTGCATGGTTCAAGGTGAAGTTCTAGAAAATTTCCACCGAAACTCATCTCTGTTGCTGATGAATGTCTAGAAAATGTGTTTACCTGCCTGTGAAGGCAAGATCTCATGCCTTCAGACAGTACCTTTCTACTATAGTGTTTAAACCCCCGCTACTTTTTTTTTTAATGTATCGAGTCATGGAATACACAGAGAATCACTCTGTAAAGAGAAAACTGGTCTGCGGCTTTGCATCGATTGCAATTGGTGTATCCAGGCAGTTTCCAAGTTGGAAAGATGGACTGCTTCGTTATGGCGCTGCATCTTGTGTAGGCCTGTCCTGAACATCAGTGAATGGAGTGGAGTGGCTGCTGTGAGAAGAAAATACTTTTTTTTTGTTCTAACATTTCCATTCTTTTTTTCTGTTTAGCTTGTCTGCTCATCTGCAACTTACATTTACGGGGTTCTTCCATAAAAATGGTATGTTTGCGAATTCATTCATTATACTGTTAATTTGTATAGCACCTTTGAAATAAGTATGGATCTGTGAGGGCAGTATTTGAATATTTTCAATCTCTGCTCTCTGGATGCAGATTTTAACTTGTATAAGTTCAGACTGTCCCATTAGTTACAATACATTCAATACTGCTTTAAATATATTGTAGCGTAATTGTAATGTTAAGCAGATGAGCCTTCCAGGGTTTTTTTCAAAACAGTGATTTTGAGAAATACTTCAAGTCATCATGCATTAAACTGAAATAGACCTTGAGGAGTTCCTGAAGAAAGTGATTTTATGGGAGTGCGTCTTTTGGATATTTGAAGTAACTTTTTAAAAAAACTCTCAGCCTTCAAATAGTTAGAATATTTGGGTTTTTTTTTAAATTAAGAGAGAAGTGTGAGTATAAATTTTACCAAGTAGAGCCTAGAAATGAGGCAAAGGCCATGTCAGCTATTATAGAAGCAACAGAAATCGTGTTTTAGTGACCTGCAGTTATTTTGTTGTGTCTTTTATGAACATAAGGCATTACCTCTCAAAATCAGAATATTGGACTTACCAAACCAGAATGAGGGGTTCTGTTCTTCTAACAAAAGCCAAAATGACATGCTTTGTGCTGTCTAGACCTGGGTAAATTCACTGTCTTTTTACTTCCCTGAAAAAAAAATCAGCTGATTATCCATTAAAATATGGTGCTGTTTCTAATTTTTTGATTAAAAATATTCTGAATGGCATCTTAGTCTTTGGATGTAAAAGCTAATACAATTTACATAACAGCTTTTGTACTTTTTGCTGGAAGTTGTTATGTTCCCTCAAAGTATCTTATGCTCAACCATATCTATTCAGTAAGATGTTTGAAAGTTAAAGTTGCAAATGTCTAGATTTCGAAATCACTTCTTTATTAAACTGTAATATTATTCTGAGGAAGTTCTTCAAATCTGAGTTAGGAACATTCTGCTTCTGGAACTTCAGAATACTGCTGGTCTCAATGGATAGTATTCGTCTTGTTTCTGCTCTCAGGAATATCTTGCCTTCAGTATTTAAGCTGGGAAACCACAAGCCTTTCGGGGCAGCTAGTGATAAAAATAGAGAAGTATAGAATAAAGGCAGAGGAAAGAGTATGCTGATGTGTCTTAAATTCAGATCTATAACTTCAATATGTGATCCTTCTGGGATAGTATGTAGTAGTGAGCCTCATGTATGGAATTTAAAATATCTAATGGATAGGTAGTTGTTCTATAGATTTTGCTGACAGACCTTCCTTTTCTTACTGCTTTTCTATTACAGTGTGGTCTGACATAGACATGGGCTGTAGTAGATTTTTCGAGATGTTAATATATTTGATGACTTTCTGTGTGGTTTTGGATGTTAGATTATATGACTCTACTGTTAAGTATAAAAACCTTTCACTTAAGGAGAGAACTGCATTTAGTGAGAGCCTGGTGATCATTTGTACCATAGAAAAGATTATCGCTAACATAAGGAATGTATACCTTAGTGAATATTAAATATAGAAAATAAATTAATGAAGCTGAAGCAATTAATATGCTTAATTGTCTGGATAGAAGTTATGTTAGAAACTCTTGAAACTGAGAGTGTGGTGGAGTTTTGGTTGTATTCTCTTCCCCTGCCCTGACTTTCTGTTTTTGCTAAGAAGGTTTCTAATATGTCTTGTGTTTACAATTAAAACAACAAAACCAAACCAAACAAAAACTGTTTGTTTCATAAAACTGCTTGTGTCTCTAGATGAGCTACCAGAACTCTCTCAACTGAAATGCATTAAGCTTGTTCAGCGTGGATATGGTGTCAGGAGGAAAGCAAATGAAGAGACATGGGTTATATTGTCTTTACTGTGCTAAAGCTTTGCTCTTTTTATCTGATGAACATGACAAAGTATTTCATTGAATGTCAGATTCTTTGTGATGGGGACTAAGGTGAAGCCATTGTGCTTTTCAACTTAAGCCCATAATTATTATTTGTAAGATTTTAAAAGAGCAGAAGTAACTTCTTATAGATTCATTTAGTTTTGGCTGATCATTGTTTTTCAGAATTTCTTCCACAAACTGTTTTTTAACCAGATATATAATCAAGTTTTATCTTTCTATTCTTTTTCCATATAAGGGCACATTTCCAGATAAATATAAATTCACATGATTAAAGGTTCTGTTACTGTAAAGTGAAATTTATTTTGTAAGGCAGTTCTTAATTGCCATTACTGATCATACTGCTGGTAGTAGCTGTCTTGAAAAGATTCCAGGCTCTAGGAAATTTATAGTGCAGAGACTGTGAAGCCAAGTCTTATTTTCTAAGACTCTTTTCAGGTTCTTTCAAGAGTCCTTTAAACAGCTATTTTGCATATACTTCATAATCTTCAAGAGTTCTTTTTTGGTTTGTGTTGTTTTCCTATCTGATAGCATCTGGATCTTTAAGTTTTGATGAAAACCAAATTCTAGGTTTGCAAACTGTAAAGAAAAAAAATTATGGGAAATAATTCGACTCATCTGTAATTAGTGTATTCTGACTTTCATTAAATCTACCTGTATCCTTTTTCTCTGCTATAAAAAGGTTTTGGCAATGCCAACAGTAGCAAGCTTACTCTTTTAAACATTGGAGGTCAACGATGCTTTTTAATCTGCTAGTATTAGAATAGTTATGTAGGATATGTTCTCAAGTGGCAATTTGCAGTAAGTTTGGGGAGAATTGAAACTTAGAATTTGATGAGAGGTCTTTGTGCCTGGAGGTAGCTATGGTTAAAACGTAATTACAGGTGGATTTACATCATTGAATAGATTTTCACTTTTTCAGAACTTAAAATATTTTTCTGTTTAGATAAGCCATCACAAAACTCAGAGAATGAACAAAATTCTGTAACCCTGGAAGTACTGCTTGTGAAGGTTTGCCACAAGAAACGAAAGGTAAGAATGATTTGACAAACTATTAATATATATTAAAGGAAAATGTTTACCTGATTTTGGAACTCTAATATTGCCATAGAACAAGGTAATGGTGAAATGATGCTTCTGTTGAGATTAATTTAAAAACTAAATTTAAGAACTTATCTATTAAAATTGTTTTCTATTGACTAAGGTATTCTTAAGAAGCAAATACATACATATGGATTTTGCACTGCTTTGTGAGGAATAACTGGAAGTTTTAAAAAAAAAAACTCAGCTTTGTTCATTGAATTCAGCTTGCTTGTAACTCAAATTCGCTCATTATGAATTTCAGCCACTTCTATTTTTACTTCCATTTTTTTGTATTGCGTCATTAAACTATTAGTTCTAGTGTGATGTCCAGAGGCTTAAGTAAACCAGGCAACCCCAAAATCATAAAATAATCTATTCCTTTTAGAGTTCAGAAATAAAAAAGAACAAGTTGTAATTGTTTTGAATTCCCCAGTCATCTGCCAAGTTTTGTCTCTTTCCTTGCTTTTTCTGTACCTGTGATCATCTACATAGTACGTTCTGTACATATTGATCATCTCAATTATTGCAGATTTCAGCTACTATGAATCGTAAACAATTTTCATCTCTTTTTTTTAAAGCATCTATGAATTTGCTTGCTGTTTTAGCTATGTTTGTTTCACACCAGTTGGCAAATTATCTTCACAACTATGGGAATATGCAAGGCTTAGTAGTGCATGCTGTAATTTTTAACCGAAAAGGGAAAGATTTGCAGTCAGAACTTTGTGTGTTTTTCCTAAGAATGTTAAGCTGTTTTGACATGTTTTTAAAAGTTAATATTGTTTCTGGCCATTTTTGTTACTTGCTATAGTATGGATAGATATGGTAAAAACAGGAGATGCTGATGGTTATTTGAAATGTTTTGCAGCAAGTTTCATACTTAGGCCATCTTGCCTTGTTTTTCCAATACTACACAGTGTTCAATGATCTATTTGAGAGATACTGAATATAATAAATCCTAGGTAAGTGATTCTTTATCTCCCAGATAGCGCAAAGTGCACTTTGTAATATTGGAAGGAGAAGATAGGAAGCCCTTGAAATATATATATAGCCAAAACATTTAATTTCTTTAGGTAAACAATTAAATTAGTATTAATGACTGTTCTACAATCTTTCTGAGTGCCTCATGTTAGTGTTCATTTAATCACTTAGAAAAAGATGACTGCTGCCAGAAGTGGTTATAGAACAGCAGTTTTATTTACACTTTCAAGTATCTGTTTTTACCTGGGATTGTTATTCCAGATTTCTTTATTTACACCAGTTTCAAGGTTTATTTTCAAAAAAGATGACAGGACAAGTGAAGGTATAAATTATGTAAGTGTTATGCTTAATGTCTTTACTTTGTATTCTAAAAACCTAAATGTTAGCTTTCTTGTTTTCGTACAGGATGTCAGTTGTCCGATCAGACAGGTTCCTACAGGTAAAAAGCAGGTGCCTTTAAACCCAGACCTCAGCCAAATAAAACCAGGCAACTTCCCATCACTTGCGGTTTCCAGCAATGAGTTTGAACCAAGCAACAGCCATATGGTGAAGTCTTACTCATTGTTATTCAGAGTAACTCGCCCAGGAAGAAGAGAGTTTAATGGACTGATCAACGGCGAAACTAATGAAAACATTGGTAACTTTAATCTTTAAGTATACTTTTACAAAGTTTATCTTGTAGGCACAGATACAGTTGTTTTGATGTGCAGCATAGGTCATATCCTGAGAAAGGCCAGTGATAGATGAGTGACTGAATTGCCTTCCATTTATTTTCAGTCTTTTTTCAACATGGGGCTAAAATACAGTTCATAGCTAGGAAATGTGCTTCCATTTTTGTGTAAATGGAACACCAGTTTTTACTAACGTGTGTTGGTGAAGGTGTGAGGCAACACTGTTGGAGGGTGAATGATGTAAGAGTGCCTTGTGGTTGCTCTGGCTGTCGTGAAACCTCCAGCAACACTGGTCACTGCTGACTCATCTGTAGGTGCTATCACGATCTCTCATCAAAACTAAATGACTAACCAGTAAAGAAAATACCTTAATAGCAAATTTTTAAAAGCAATTTTCTTAATCTTGTCAAGACATGCATGATATGTTGCATTACAGATGTTGCAGCCTTGGAGAGTGCGTGTAGCATGAAAAACTTTCTTTCTCACTATTTTATAGCTACAGGAGGAGGAAGATCAAACCCCAAATTCTTTATGCTGACAGTAACATGACTAAACTATAAATATGTGTGAACATGCCTAAAATACGATTACTGTTAAGCTAAGTGCTTATGGCTCTTTGCATTGCCATTGAGCTGTTCACTAAATACTATGTCCTTTTCCGTTGTGTGATACATCTGACATAATCAACAGCCGGTTATATTCTACAATTGCATAGAAACTGTTTGATCTTTTGAATTTATGCTTATATAATCATTTAATATCATATTTCTTATGTACAGATGTCAATGAGGAGCTACCAGCTAGAAGAAAAAGAAACTCTTCGAATCGTGAAGATGGGGAAAAGACATTTGTAGCACAAATGACTGTATTTGACAAAAACAGGTAATATTATCCAAAATAAATATTGTTTCTGTTAATTGTTAGGAATTTGTTTAATATTAAACTTAAGTTTGTTCTTTATTTTCAGTGTTGGCTGTCTTTGCCTGCATTTTTAGTTGGTATTTAAGAGCTTAGGCTTGTTGTCTTTAAAAAAAAAAAGTCTACAGGTTTCATAATGTACATTTTATACTGAGACCTGTTCAGTGACAATTGTAAATAATTCCCTGTTATGAACTTGCGTATTGTCCTGTGAATATGCATCAATTTGTCTGTTCCTTGTCAGTTTTTTGACAGATGTAATTTCTGTGGTTCTGTTAAAGATCAGTTACAGCATAATTAAAAAGGCAAACAAATAAAAAGTCTCTGAAATATGCTTACTGCTTACATTCTATTTGGTGGTATAATTTTCTCCATGCCCAGAATCTTACTGATGCAGTCACTGATCTTACTCTGTTAGCACCTAAAGAAGACACTAGTTCTCCATTACTATGGTGAAATCAAACAAGTAGTTAAAATCATGAAGGATTACTCTGTTGTGTACTTTAAGTGTGATGAAATATTTTAATATTTGTTATCTTGACACTGATTAATATGGTTTAAAGAAGGTGGAGTGGGGGGAACTTACATGTAACCATAGCTTAGAGCAATCCAGATAGTTCAGAGGATAAGTAGCTTACCATTTACTTGTAAGTGGACATTGTAGTTGTTTGCGCTGCAGAAGATGATAATACCAGCAACAGTCAGAATACAGTATATGAAAATAAGAGTTCTGTCTATAGCAAAGGTGTATCCCAGGTGGAGGTAAGTATCTAGATAATTTCTTTATTAGTAAAAATATAAATATAGCTTCAAGAAAAAGCTGCTTAAAACATAGGTCCAAGTGATTCTGACAAAATGATTGTTTATCCAAATATGGGTTTAGAAATCTTATATTTTGAGTAGAGTTTTCTTAAGAAATGTCTTTCTGTAATCTGTATCTTCTTAGAAGTCTTGACAATATTTTTTTCTTTTCTATTACTTAGTTCCACTGCAGAACTTTAATATGCTAAACATGATATGAACCATTAGGTGGTTTTGTAGTGGTGTTACATAAGCGAGACATTTTCAGCCATGCTGCTGTATAAGTGACACTGATTTGCAGCAGAACCAAATCATGCATAAAACCTGTTTTTTTAAAAAAAAAATTTAACATTTTACTTTATGTGGAAAGCCATCTTCAAAATATAAGCTATTAACTTTATTTATTATTTGTGGATTTTTTGTAAAATATGAGCTATTCATTTACGTTAACCTCTTGAAGTTATAGTCTTGTTTGATGGAGAAATTGGGAAAAGGATTATACATATCATGCAGAGCTAGGAAAAGTATTGTCTTAAGGCCATTATCTTCTCTATCTGTATGTTTATTTTTTACCTTTTGAAGCTCTTGTGGTTCTAAGTAGAATAAATGATGAAGGAGTTAGTGGTTTGCAAGATGACATCAAGAAATAGAACAAAAGGTCTCTGATGGCTTACTTGGTGCATTTATAGCTTTATTCTGCTGGGACACTTCTGCTGTAATATAGTTTACACGTAAAAGAAAAACATAGGCTGTAGTTTACCTGTCCCAATATCTCACTGTAGAATAAGGAAGGGTCTAGAAACAGAAGCAACCTTTTTCTGCAAGACACAGGTTCAAACTGTGTAACAGAATTTATCTACTTAGCAACAACTTGCTTAATTTGAATAAAGCTTCTGTAGCTTATGATCTGTTGTCAGGAATTCAGTGCCATTGCTTCAGAAAGTAGTGTTTCAAAAGAAAAAAATACAAAGTCTTGGGAAAGTAAGCTTGTATTGTATATTGATATTACTTTCTGATTTCTGTTGATATCTTTAAAACACATGTATCCATGAAAGTTTTTCCTGAGACTATACCTTTGATTCACTACTTTTTCTTTTTTGCTTCTGTGCTGTTCAGCAAGTGGCAACAAAATATTTAAGTTGGAATCAGAATTTCTCAAGCCTCACTGAACAGACTGCTACATAGGAGGAAGCAGGGTGAGATAGGGAGGAAAGTGAAAATGTAGCATGTTGGTTAACATGTTTGAATTACCCATTCTAGTGTATGTAGAGCATTTTCTTATTTACTTTTTGAAAGCATCATACTTTATATTTACTATGTTGAAGTCCTTGTAAGGTTACATCTGATATGGCTGTGATAGGAAGATAGGATTCTTTAGTTTTGGAGGCCTGATTAGAGGTGATACTGGTTTGCTAGAATAAAGTAGTTATTAATAAAGCAGGAAAAAAAAAAAAAGATGATTGGGGGGGTGTCATTCATATTGCTTTTTGTTTCTTCACAGGAAGATTCCCATCATAGTATTAATTTTGTATTAACAATAGCTTTCCTACATCTCTTGGAATTTCTTGGATGGAGGCTTTTGCATTAATGTTTGGAATTAGGCAGCTTTTTTGTTATGGATGGTGTTTACCTAAGATTCACATTTAGTTGCCAAATAAATTTACCTGAAAATTTATCTTCACGTTCATGGAAACTTACTGTGAAATATAGTCTGCATTTTAATAGGCAAACAGTAAAAATGAACTGCTTTACTCATAATACATACTTTGTCTTGACAGACGCTTGCAACTTCTGGATGGGGAATATGAAGTGGCCATGCAGGAAATGGAAGAGTGTCCCATTAGCAAGAAAAGAGCAACATGGGAAACAATACTTGATGGGAAGGTATGGGTTGTTTTAGTGGCTGAAAGGCCTGTCTTCACTTAAAATGGTCTGGATTAAGGCGGAACACAATTGGAAGTGCAGTCAGTGGCTGTTCCTCTGAAAATGCATTAAATGGAACAGGAAATAATCCTTCTCTTTCAGGCTGTATGGACGTAAGTTTTAATTTAGCTCTTGGTTTAGGAAAGCTTTGGCTACACTAGATCATTAATACAAGGAGATATTAACTGTAGGTTAACAGCTATCTGTAGGTATGGCAGCTATCTCTTTCAATTACTTCTGAACTTTTGTCTTAAAATCAGGCAAATTCAATGTTTGTTACTGTAATAAATTCAAGTTGGATAAATCAAAAGGAATGAACTGGAAAAGCAGAGTATTTTGGGAAAAGAAAGAGGAACCCAGAGCTTTCATAGATGTGATCTTACACATATACCTTAAGAGAATGCTGATGAAATTTAGTGATGAAAGGAAGCGGGTGTGTTGGTGTAGGAGGAGGTGAATCAACACTCGGTGATACAGTGAATGAAGGTGACTGTGTGCACTTATAGTCACATGCTCCTGTGTCCTGGGAGAGTATCAGTTGTAAGTGACTTGAGGAGAAGAATATGAAAATTCTAGGTGGTTGCAAAGTAGTTGTGTATCAACATGATTATATAATTATGAAAAAAACCAGAGATGATCCAAAGTATATAGTAAAAATATACTTAAAAGCTCTATTATTCTGTTCAGCCTTTAGCTGGAATACTGCTTCTGATTCTGTTAAACTATATTCAAGAAATTGAAAAAGCTAGAAAGAGCTTTTAGGAAGATCATAGGAGAAGATCCTCCACATGTGAATGTCTTAAAAAGATAAATATAAATTGCTGTAACTTTGTTGAATTGAAACAGGGATGTGTTTGCTTTCTGTTGTTGGGAGAATGCAAGAGTGGGTTTTTGTGCTGGAGAATGCGGGAGTGGGTTTTTGTGCTGGAAGTGCTACCCCAAAGAGAAAAGGAAAGAGTCATGTCCAAGGTGTTTTTTAACCCAGATCTGATAAGCACGTTGTCATCGGGTTTCTGTTTTTGCAATAGCATTTCTGTAAACTAATGAGGCCTAAATATAATAAAGGTCTTTTAAGATGAAATTCTGTCATCTCGTTGGTAAATTTAGGGTATGATACTTGATAATATTTGTGACTTGACTCAGATCTATTCTATTTCTTTATTAATATTAACTTGATAAGTGAGTGGAAAATAAGAATGTATCCACAGGAGAATATTACAATAGCATTTCTACAGCAGACAGTGGTACGTTTTTTAAAGCTTGTGTATTAGTATACGATACTGGACTTCAGAATTAGGAGTAGGTGTGAGTAGAAAAAGAGGTATATTTGCAGCAGGCTGGTGGCTAAGTGCTGTTTTTTTTCTCTAGTCAGAGTCCATGCTGTTTACTCTTTGGTGTTTAACAGTATGTGCATGAAGTGGTTGCTAGTAATATGCAGGAAATTTCATAGTCATCTTTTTCAGCTTTTTTTTAGCATATTCGAATGCGTATACTTATGTTGAAAACACAAGGACTTCAGGTGATTAAAAAATTACATCTGTCCCCATTCTGTGAATACTTTCTTATGATTGTTTTTGTACATGGGAAGACACTAATTCTGCTGTTTTATTTTTTATTTCCCCACCATCAGAGATTGCCTCCATTTGAAACATTTTCTCAGGGACCTACACTTCAGTTTACTCTTCGTTGGACAGGAGACACAAATGATAAGTCTACAGCTCCTATAGCTAAGCCTCTTGCAACACGAAATTCTGAAAGCCTCCCTCAAGAAAACAAGCCCAATTCTGTTAAACCTACTCAGACTATAGGTAAGCAAACATTGGTTTTGCTGCTGAATAATCATCTACTTGGCACTTCTGTTCTTCAGGGTTTCTGACTCACTGGTGCAACTGCTTTAGGTAATCTTAAACATGAAAAAGCAAAAATGAATGGGCTTTGTTGTAATCTGTATTTTCTACATTTTTTTTAAGGTAAGTTTAAAAGCTAAAAATAGTGGGGACTTTGAGGTCATGACAATATTGAAGTGATTGTATACAATGCTTATGAATCCTGATGTGAAATAAATCGGGGGAAACCTGTGAATAGGACTTCTGGGATTGTCTGTTCTGCTCTACTCATTTTAATTACTGTTTTATAAGAATTTGGATTTATAGTACTAATAAGTTCCTCTTTTATGCTTTGTAGTGCAAATAGCTTTAAAATTTGTCTATCAGATGATACATTTAGCTCTTGGAAAATGTAGCTGCTACTGTGAAATGTCACAGAAACTGTCTAAAATACATTGCATTGCATGTTTGTGGTGTAAAGGTAACTCAGGTTCTTTCAGTACGCTTATGAACTGGCGCTAATCTTGATACATAGTTTGATGTCTAGACATGGTGCCATGGTGGAAGCACAATATATCTATATATATTTATTATTTAGCTGCATTTTCTGCATATTCACACAAGTTAACAAAGACTTCTGTTTGGGCCTAAAGGTTTTTTTCTGCCTTTATTCCTTTTGGACAGTCTGAGGCTGTCTAGATAGCGTGCAGGCTTACAGTTAGTACTGTCAGAAAATAATTCTGTGTAGGTAAGAGAAAAACATAGCAAGTCTGCAGACTATTACTACAATGTGAGGTAAGTCTGTATTTGTTGTATGTAAATTAATCTGTATGTATTATTGAACTAGTTTCTCACTAGTCATTAACTAATGTTTAGAGCATTGTAATTTAAAACTAAATGCTTTTGAAGTTCATAATTTTTCAGTGATCTGAAATGTAACTGGTTTTGTTTACTTCTGCAAGTTCCTGTACGTTCTTTCAGAAGAGTTTACATACTGTCAAACTTTGTAAAACTCTGAACTGTTTTATTATCACTTTAAATGTATATCACATTGAAAGCAGTAGTGGATAGACTATTTAAAATTGCATCACTTAACCTTGCTTCATGGAAACACTTTTTAGTAGTATACAATGATTTTCATTTTACTTCTTTGCTTGGTTCATATTTAATGTAGTAGTGGCACTTCTGTGGAGTAACAGTGTCATTGAAAATTTAATGTAATTACCATTGTAATCTGATCCACTACTTTGGAGATTACATCATGTCAAAAACATCAATGCAGTCTGCTAATATTCACTGCAAATCTAGAATTACAGTTTTTGTTACCTTAATATATCCCATTATGTATTTAAACACAAGTTCAAGAGCTATTAAAAGGTCTAGAACCTGCTCATTCTGCTGTTGGTGGTACTAAAAAGCTTGCCTTGTAAAGCTGCTGAATAGCAAATTATATTTATGCTAAATTTACATAGGTGATTTAAGCACTGTTTTAGAAAAACTCGTAAAATGTCCTTTGTTTCTGTAGGTATATGTTAAAAAACCACGTATGTGTTCCGGATCACTTTCTTTATGGAAAGTCTTCTGGGAATATTTTGCTCAGTATCAGTACTGGGACTTACCTTGAAAATTTCAATGGACTTAGAAGGTTTGACCCTTATTAATTTTCAAGGAATGTGTGATAGCATACTTTTTTTAAAAAAAAATTCATGCATGGTGTAAAAATATTGACAGGCACATACTTGCTGTGAGATATTCTGCAGGAGATTGTAGTATTAAGATAGGCATTTAGGTATGAAAATCAACCATGTGTTTTTTTATCTCCTTCAAGACTTGTTTTGATGTTCTTGCAAAGTTCTGGGGTAGCTGCTGGGGCAGGGGTAACTGCTTGTATACTGCAGTCCAGTTAACTGAAAACTTCACTAAGTGATGTAGCTGTACAGCAGGTAGTGTGCTATTTGATGATAACTGTATCAAGAAATTAAGCTTAATGTAGTTTTTATATTTTTAAATACAAATTTGCCATTAATTTAGTTCAGTTGCTGAACTACAATTTTGTTAGTATGTTTCTAAAACTATATTTCTTCCTTGCTGTCCCAGAGCTTAGCTCAAAAAAGCTACTGCTAAAATACTTTTTGACACTAGATAGAAAAGGCACCTTTTTTTTTTATAGCAGTTTCCTATCTTGGAGTCATATTTAATCTGAAACTCCCATTTGATTCCTAAGTGGCAGTGGGGCTGGCCTAGATACTGTCTTTCTTTTGTCTTGCTCACAGTTGTTTGTAACTTTGGCTTGGAATGTTGTGTTGGCAGGTAAAGCCCAAGGACAGGTGGAAAACTTAAATTGTGCAGAAGACAACAGGCTGCTCCTGTTGTTTAAACACCTAGGAACATACCTAGACTCTTGACTGGCACCCTGCTCACTTCAGAGTAATCAGTAAGCTTGTAAACAGACTGGGACTGTGTGATTAAAGAAACTTCTAGGTCCCTATTACAGAATTAATTATCTGGAGTGCAGTGGTTCTGTCTCCAGGCTTAACCTGTCTCGTGGCATGTAGTCAGGCACTATTTGTGAAGAGTTGGTCTTGCTTGAAGTTTTGGGGTTTGTCTATGGTAGTATATCACAGAATTTGTGCAAAATGGTATTTCAGTCTGATTTTGTGTTGGATATATTAACTATGAGGTTTTAGAGCTGTAGTAGTGATAGCAAGGGAATGATTGTTATGGAAAAAAGAAAAAATTGCTTTTCCAAACATGCTTTTTGTGCAGTTGTATTGCAGTATATGCTGGGAAACTTTTGATGGGTCAACAATAGCTCACGTCTGGTGAGACTTTCTAAGAGTGGTAATTCTTTTCACTGCTTTTAGAGCTTTAGTGTTTAGTAATACAAAAGTTAGAGCAAGAAGAATTTCACCCCTACCTGTGCAGAAGCCACTGTTGAGAATGTTCCCTAACATCCTCAGCCAACTTACAGACATCTTTGTCTTTGGAAAGAGCACAAGAATACTTAAAATAAGATTGATTCCTGTCTTCTGAATTGAGTATGTTACCTGAGCTAGGGATTGCAGAGACTTGGGTTTCTTAAGTCAGGTTGACACACTTAACACACAAACATGAAGTAATTTCCAATAGAAGAAAAGCAACAGAAGCATGGGAGTACTTGAACTTTCACTATAAAAGTTGTTCTGCTTTCTCTCTACTTCCTCATACCAAACCTCCTTGTATTTTAGAGTTTCTTGGAGACCTATATTGTAATTTGTTAGGCAGGTTTTATGCTCAGACTTGCCAAAGAAATGGCAGTACGTTGACTAACTCTAGAGTGTGTACTAGTTCACTACATAATAAATATGGAGGCAACAGGGACATGGCAAGGCTGCATTGCTAATGTACTGATGGAACCCATTTTTTCTTGCATCAGAGAAGCTAAGTATTCCAGTAAATTGGGAAAGTTAAAGCAAGAGCCACCTTCCAAAATAGTACAGCCGACTCTTAATACGGGAATATATTGTAGTGCAATGCACAGTGTTGTGGGGTATTTGTGACGGTTGTGCTGTTTTCAGTCTCTGAATACCAAGAAAAGAGGAGAGTGAAAATAGTAGGAAACTTCTATCAGGTTCTGGTAGTAAAAGAAAAAGATCCAGTGTATCTTTCCCAAGGATATATGAATTTGGTGTTGTCGTTTTACTTTGGCATGTTTCCCAAGGCAGACCAGTGGAATAAAGACATCAAAGTCTCTTCTAAATGTGGCAGATTAAGCTTTGTTGTAGCTACAAAATACTGAAAGTAACTGAGCTATGCAATTCTAATTTCTCTGATGTGGTGTAGGCTTGAAGGGTCAGGCCTCCTCTCTTTTTTGTACAGAAAGAGGACTAAATTTGCCTGTTCTCCAAAATATTAAATATGAAATAAGTGCATGTTCTAGAAGATCTCCTTACGTCAGTAGAACTGACACTTGTTTTGCCATCTTTTTCACCATTCAGAAGCTAGTAGGTGTCATTATTTGGTTTCTCCTGAGGGTAGATTTATAAACCTACTTAGATACGTGAGGTTTCTTATTAATTATATGAAGTCAAATAATCTTACTGCAATTAAAATGGATGGAAGAGGCTCAGAGGCAACTAAGCAGTGCCATTACATGTGTAAAGAGTAAGTATTTGAGGAATAGGAGCTAAGAGTTAAAGTTTCAGTTAAATATTTTGCATGTCACTTGCATCTCATGCTGTTGTCAGTTGTGTGGCTTGGGAATCTTCTGAAATTGAATTTAAGCAATGTATTTGCAAGGCAGCCATCTGAAAGCAGTGTTTCTTTTGTATTTCCCAGCCACACCTGCTTTTAGAATTCTCTGTTAGCTTAAATGGAGTAAGAAAAATGTTGGTTTTTACCTGACCATTTTTAAGGTCTCTGAAGGATTCTCCAAAACTGGAGATACATCTGGTGTTTAAAAGTGGTGTATTTGTCTGTAGATTTGTGAAGGAAGCTGAGCATCAGGACTTCCTTGTTGCTGATATGAGCTGCTTATGTCAAAGTACACTAGAGTAGCCCATTTCCTTCAGCAGCAGTGTGCCCTTCTCAGGACTTCCATACTTGAGTAAGAAACAATGTCTTTTTTTTCCTCTTCACCAAAGAAATGTATGTCTATACGTGGGTTTTTTTCAGCTGTGAAAGAATCTTTGCCAACAGACCTTCAAACAAGAAAGGAGAGAGATGTTTTAAATGAACCTCGACAAAAATTGCGAATATTTTACCAGGTATTGAAAACAAGCATTAGAGGGAACAACTCGAATCTAAATATTGCATGGAATTAAAATGTTCTCTTCCGAGCTGGGTGGAAATTTCCATTTGCCTTTTTAGTGGATGCCTTAAGGGGGTCTCAGATTCATATATTAAGAGCCATTCCACATATTTCTTCCTGCAGGAAGTATTTTAGAAAACTGATCTTCCTGGGGGCATGTCTGACGTTCCAAAATACAAAGGACATCTCTTGTTAGACATCTGGAGGGGGACAGGTGGTCTCTCTATGGGGAAAAAATTCTTGAAATACCAGTGTTTCAGTACACTGAGCTGATGGAGTGTTCTGAAGAACTTAACTGTTACTGTAGCGGTCTCCTGACATTATGTCCAACTTTGTTTTGAGGGTTGGGAAGTTAATGAATGAAATGCATTTGATGCTAATACTACCTATTCCTTTGTTTGCATCAGTTCCTTTATAACAACAACACAAGACAGCAGACTGAAGCCCGAGATGACTTGCATTGCCCGTGGTGCACACTGAACTGTCGGAAACTATATAGTTTACTTAAACATCTTAAACTTTGCCACAGCAGATTTATCTTTAATTATGTTGTAAGTAATCTTTTTGTAGTTTAGCACTATGAAACACTGTACAGTCTGTCACAGATAATACAAATGCAGTGATTCTGTTGCTAGCCTGTTAGGTTGTAGGACTGTATCTACAGGTTAAATGCAGCTTTCTTTGAGTGTTTTGTGAATGTTTGCCTGTTACATGGGAAAGAAAAATTTGTGGGTTTGATTATATTTATTTTCTTCAGTGTATTTTAAATAATGCTAATCACTGGAGGATGAATTCTACTATAGCTGCTGCTTTTGTGTTAATATATTCTTTTTATGTATTGTAGAAAGCAATGTAAGCCACATTTGGTTGGAAGTTTCTTGAAGCTTTAGGAAATACAGAAATGTTCTAATTCGTAGGGTGCTTGTTAGCAATCTTTTGCTGATATTTTCCTTACTTTTTTAATTAGTTCTATTCTGAGTGGTTTTATATAAAACAGTAAAATGGAACAGAGCAAGGAAGCTTTAGTATAATTTGTTTCTAGAGGTTAAAAATTATTTGGGTGTTGTAAAAGGAAACTAGAGCTATGTCAGGTTATTGATAGGGTGATATTGAAGGTATTCAGAATTGAAAAGCTTACTTGCTTAAACCTCCTGATGTATTGTCATTACTGTTTGCTAAGTATATTTGCAATTATCTGTTTCAGTATCATCCAAAAGGTGCTAGGATAGACGTGTCCATCAATGAGTGTTATGATGGTTCCTATGCAGGAAATCCCCAGGATATCCATCGTCAACCTGGATTTGCCTTCAGTCGCAATGGACCAGTCAAAAGAACTCCTATCACACACATACTTGTTTGCAGGTAGGGAGATGGAAAACGCAGTCTATCTGTATTTGTGTAATATAGCATAGGGACCGGATTTGTGAAACCTAGGGATTTGTAAATCTGTAGGTGCACATAAACAGTGTTAAATGTTTATGCAGCAGTTTATGACTAAACAAAATGTTTTTGAAGGATGATGACTCCACCTGTGATTTTTCTACATCTTTTCAGTTGAAGTGTCTATTCATAATGATGTAACCCTTCTTAACTGCCTTATCCTAAAACTTTTCTTCCCCAAAAGGTGGAGTGTGGGTTGGAGCGGGGTGTTGGGTTTTTAACAGGGTTTATTTCACTGCTGGTGATTCCTGGCCTTCCCAGCAAAATTTTTGCAAGCTAGAGCTTAAAAAAATAATTTATATTAATCAATTACAGTTCTTAGCATTTGCATGTTTGATATGATGGTTGAAAGCAGTTACTTTTTTTTTCCTTCTGCTAGGCCAAAGCGTACGAAAGCAAGCATGTCAGAATTTCTTGAATCTGAAGATGGTGAAGTAGAACAGCAGCGAACATACAGCAGCGGGCACAATCGGCTATATTTCCACAGTGACACATGTTTACCTCTCCGTCCACAAGAAATGGAAGTAGACAGTGAGGATGAAAAGGACCCTGAATGGCTACGGGAGAAAACCATTACTGTAATTATTCCATTTATACAAAATTATTTTAAATGATTGTGGTCTGCAGTTGTAGGAAACAAATGGGGCACATATTGTGAAAATGATGCATTTACTTTGAGAGAAGGTATAAAATTTTGTCATGCTGAGCCACTAATGATAGAAATTCATGGAATAAAAGTTTGTATTTTCAAGTATGTTTTCAGTTGCAAAGCTCACTCAGTCCATATTTGTCCTAACAAGTTTTCTTTCTTTGTGGCTGGTTTTCTCTTTCAAAGAGGAGATGCTGGTATCACAGGAGTATACAGTGGGATGTGTGTATAACATGGAAGTAATTTATTATCACTGGTCTCTACATGATACGACTTTTTTCAGACCTTTTTGGCTGCAGTGCCTGAATTTTCAGCAGTAGTTATTTCTGTGATGTATAGGTGGCATAAGTTGAATTTTAGGTGTGCTTTCACTACTTGTCAGCAGACATGCAGTTCTGATGAGTGTGTTTGTTTCTTTTGCTGTCCTTTCTCCCAATCCTTTATCTCTCCAGCAAATTGAAGAATTTTCTGATGTTAACGAAGGAGAGAAAGAAGTGATGAAATTATGGAATCTTCATGTTATGAAGCACGGGTATGTTACTATGCTTCATTTTGATACAAATAAATTATGGTATAGATTTGGTTGACCATTTTGCATTGCAGTTCACTAAGTACTTCAAAATTCAGTTAGCTCAGTTGTTTAGGAAAGGATCATTAATGGATAATTTGGTAACAAGCTTTTGACTGTTTAAGCTTTCAAAAAATGTTCTTGCATCTAGTAGCCTTATGGCTTTGAAAAGAAAAAACATTGCAGATGTTGAGACTATGTAATAGATGGCCTATGCAGTTACATTGATAAACCATGTTGTAGCCTATCTTTCTGTTTTTGAAGGTGTTCTACTTGCATAATGGTGACTTTCTAATTTGACAGGTTTATTGCTGACAATCAAATGAATCATGCCTGTATGCTGTTTGTTGAAAATTATGGACAAAAAATAATTAAGAAGAACTTGTGTCGAAACTTTATGCTACATCTGGTCAGCATGCATGACTTTAACCTCATCAGCATAATGTCAATAGACAAAGCTGTTGCCAGGCTCCGAGAGATGCAGCAGAAGTTAGAGAAAGGAGAATCGGCTTCCCCAACAGATGAGGAATCTTCCGAGGAACAAAGTGGGACAACAAATGGATATAGTGAAAGTAACATGAGAGAGAGGATTTTGGAAATGGATAGCGTCTCAGGTGTCACAAAACAGAGCAAGAAACAAAAGCTCTGAAGTCAGAAGTCAATTGCCATTCAACGGACAAGCATTGAAGTGACATTCTAGGGTGCATGAGCTCTATAAAGAATTACACACAAAAATACAGAAATTCCAAACAGGCACTGCTGGATGGAAATAAATGATTTCAACAAGGATATTGTTTTAACAGGGTTTCTATTCATTTAATTATGCAAGTACTACATGTATATCGGTTTTGGTGATGTAATGACAATATTCTAAGAGTTTGAGCATGAAGAGCAATATGAAAATCTTTTTGTAATTTTAGTAATTAGTGTCTTAAGAACTTTATGGAATTTACATAATTTAAGTATATGTAAAACCATTTTTATATTAAGATTTTTGCATCTGTATCTGGCTGTTTTTCCTACCATGAAGTTGTGAAACATTGGGGAAAGGGGATTGGGATACAGTTTCTGCTTTTTTTTTTTTTTTGAGAAATTCTCCAGTTATCTTTTTGTGAAAATTACCATCTCACTATTTAAAGTTTAACCTTGATCCTTGTATTTGAAATCATTTATCAATTGATCATAAATTACAAATTTTATTTTTTTTTTTTTTACACTAAAATTATCAAAGTTGGCGAACTTAGCACTTCCTTTGTCTTGTGCCTGTTTGGAAAGATCTTGGCTTTTCCCGTTACAGACACAGTGAAGTACCACCTTGGCTTTTTGAGGTTACCAGCAGTTTGGTTTTCGTGGATAATTCTGATGTATTGATCACCCAGTGTACCATTTTAAACTTGAACATTAGCTCCTTTATATTTTTATTACACATTTACACAGCTACACAAACTATTTGATGTAAACCCTTTTTACTGGGGTTCTGCGTCATAGTGTGCCATGCTAAAGCCGAGAGTCTATAGTCAGTAGGTAGGCATTACGTCAATTAACTTCAAAAGAAGTTTATGCCTGCTGTTTTGCCTGAGTACAGACTGCAAGTCCAGGCCATAGGTTTAGCTTTGGCTTTCGAGATGCCACTCTTGAGGGAAAAATGCACTGTAAAATTGGACCAGAAAATGTGTTGCACTTCTTATGTAAGTATTCTGTGATGTATTGTATTCAATACAGATACTAAGATGCTGACTAAACTATATTTGAGCAGTTTTGCACTGCTGTTAACACATTTTATGCATACGTTTACAGATTTTTTCCAATGGAAAGTGGTTTCACTACTGGTACAGTATCAGCACCGAAGGGTTTATTCCAGCAAGCACTGTGGTTGAGTGACATCACCTCAATTTTTTATTATCCTTAAAATATTGCATTTTTCATATTCTTTATTTATAAAGGAACAATGCTGCTGTAAATACAGGTATTTTTAATTTTTTATTTCATTCCATCACCATGAGATGCAGTTCCCTATTTGTTTAAGGGGTATATAAGCTTTCTAATGGTGTCTTCAGAAATTTATAAAATGTAAATACTGATTTTGATGGTCCTTAAGATGTGTTTAACTGTGAGACTATTTAACTAATGGTGTGGATGTGATTTGTCATCCAGTATTAAGTTCTTAGTCACTGATTTTGTGTACAAAATAGGAAAGAGGGAACCTGCAGCTTTCATTACAAACTTCTTGAATTTGCCAGTTCTCTGAGTTTTAGCAAACTCTAATTTTGCCTCTGGATAGTACATCAAGCATTTCTCTCTGGCTTTAATTTGCTAAAGCTGTGCACATATGTAAAAAAATAGATTATTTTAGGGGAGATGTAGTTCTAGAATTATTGCTTATGTCATTTCTTAAGCAGTTATGCTCTTAATGCTTAAAAGAAGGCTAGCATTGTTTGCACAAAAAGTTGGTGATCCCCCCAAAAATAGTAATGAAATTACTTCTGTCCAGTAAACTTTGTATGTCATGTCAATTTATAATAAAAGCTGAAAAAATCCCTTTGTTTTCTATTTATAAAGATGCCTTTTCTATATGTACCTTTGATAGATTTTGAAGATACCATGTAAGCTGGTCAAAAAGAATTTGAATGGTACAGTAGATGTAAAAACAAAACAAAACCTCGAACAAAAAACAAAACAACTTCAGTTGTTTAAATGAACCTTTGTTTTTACATTAAATGTTTTATTTGAAATTGGCTTTTGTACATAAAGTTCAGTAATATAAAATCTGCCAGTGATGGTTGTCCAGTCATTTTGTGTGCATGCAGAAAGGCCACAAGCAGCACCTTGTATAAACTTTCTCTTCTGCATGTCTTTTAAAATTTGGATACGTGTTCTTCCTTTGCTGGATTGTTGCAAAGGTAGCTAAGTTTGTGTCTGGGCTCTTTGTTATATTTAAGGTGTCTCCATAAATTACCAGGTTTGTAGCCGGATTATAAAAACTTTCCTTCTCCTTTCTCGGGGGTAGAGTTGGGTATTACTGTTAAGAACTGTAATTTAGATAACAGAAAATGAAACATACCACTTGTGTCAGTTATAAAAATACAACTTGTGCGTTTTTTACATGCAAGCGGTTAATGTTTCAAACAGATTTTACGAGATACTTAGTTGATTTGGAGCAAAGTTCAAATGAGTATCAGTTTAAAACAGTGCTTCTCTTGGACTGTAGAGGATGGATACTCCAGGTACTGCAGAACAAAATGAGTAAGGAATTGCATTGCTTGGCTGAACGGTGACTGTTGAATAGCAGACACTGAAAACCTTTTTCCATGTTAGAAATAATTCAGATGCTGAAATACAGGATATGAAAGATTCTGTAAACTTGACTTCAGACTGCAGTTGTCCAGTATGCTTTCATGTCTAAAATTGGCAAGGTTCTAATCTAGCCTTTAATATGTTCATGGCAGATTTTAATGATGTTTTGTATTTGGTGATCATCTGAACACAACAAGTCTGTGAACTCCAAGTTGGAACATAACATATGACTTGAATATTTAATTCAGTGCATTAAATACTATATTCAAAACTGTTAGATTCATTTAAGTTGTTAACCTTAAGTGTACATTGCTTTGAGTGTGTCTTGAATGTTATCCTTGAATTTTTGGGAGGGTGAGGTAAAGATTCACTGCCTGGAGTGAAGCAGTTACAAATAATTTGAACTGTTCCAATTACTTCAACAAAACAAAACCCCCAAACCATAACAACCCACCCCAAACCAGCCATTTGATTTCACCTTTGAGAATGCAGGAGCCATTCCATGAGGACAATTTTGACGATATTGTTCAAAGTTAAGTATTTCTTAATTCACAGAACAGTTTGGTGCCATCTTTGACCAGTGCTTGAATGAAGGTGTTCCTGTTGGACCAGATCCTGGTTATAAATCTGATACTGCATGGTTTCACAACCAAGAAAACAAGAGCTGTGAATGAAGTAGGTAAGTCTGCCTTCCATGACCGGTATCTGCCATTCTTAAGTTGCTTGATTTGTGGCTGAAGATGCACTCTTTAGGAGAAATATGTGGTATCTTATTGTGAAGAAAGTTCTTCATATGAATGGTGCATTTATTGAGAGAAAGCTACCAAGTCAGCAACCTTTCTTACCGGTGTCACAAGCTGTTTTTCTTTTAAAAGAGACTAAAGAAATGGAACAGGCTGCAGGTAAAGCAGAACTAAGGGAATAAAGTAAAGCTGTGTGTTAGTTCAACATGGACTTTATTTGAAGGGTATTAAATACCTCTGCTGCTTGCTAAGTAATGGTGGCCAAAAACTACCATTGTATAAGAGCTGCACCTTTTAATGCAACAGTAAAACAGAGACACATTAGCTGTGATGGAATATTGAGGAAGGTAGTTTACAGATGCTGTAACTAATTTTTAAAAAATAAGGAAAATTATTTCTGCAACAGATGTTAGTCAGCATTGGAACTTCAGCTGGAAATAATGGTAAATGCACAAGTGAGAAACCTGAAAAGTTGTCTGGCACTTCTGAGGGACAAGATAAAAAGGGAGAAACCCTTAAAGATGGCTACAGTGCTACAGAATACGGTTTCTTATGTTCTTGTTAGAATGCAGTGATGCTTAGCTTTATGCCCCAATAAATAATGTACTAGACCATACACAGTTGAGGGATAAAACTTTATTTAAAAAAATTCAAATTTCACTTGACACATTAAGTCTTAGTTGAGGTAAGTGAATGTACTAGCTTAAGAAAACAACTTTCAGGATTGGATTTTGTAAGCAGTTAACACTGTTGCTTCCAAGGCTCCAATTGCTAGAGGTGAAAAATCGTAAAAGAAGCGTCAAGTTTTCTATCTAGCTGAACTCCTCTGTGGAAGAACAGAATTTCACCCTTTTTCATTGAAGCCTGTTCTGATTTGTTGCATACTCTGTTACTTTATTACTCGGGCCTCTTGCCCTGAGACTCTTCATCTCATCCCAGGTTTGGAAGGTGCAGCACTAAGAGGTGGCTGAACAGTACCTAATTTGCAATTTGGATAGCTAGGTTTAGGCCACGTTAAAAAACAAAAAAAAAAAAAACAAACAAAAAACCACCAAAAAAACCCAAAAACCACCAAAACCAACCCAACATTGGCAGGCTGCCCTTGTTCAACACACAGCTAAAGACTGAAGTTGGAAAAAGTATTTCTTCTATTGACATCCTCAGCTCTCAAAGGGAGCAGCAGAAGCCTCCCGTGGCTCTTCACAGTCATCTCAAGCTGCTTTGTATGTATGTTCTGAACAAACCGACAAGGCATTACCATCTCTGGAAGTACCTGAATTCAAGGCTTAAGCTTTATTTTCCAATATGCAGAATTGATAGTCTGACTAGCCCTTCTAAAAGCAGATGAAAAGGTACCTGACCTGTCGGTACCTCAGAAGTGTAGCTATTCACAATTTTAGTTTCCATATGCTAAAAGTACTAAGTTACAACTAGTACCTGACACCTGAAGTGTGTAAGTAAAATTACCAGCACTACTAAGTAGAGTAAGATTTAAGTTGGCTGCCAGCTGCAGTGCCAGCCTGATCCTCTCCAAACAGGACTGATACAGTTTGATCATCTACTTGAACCTTCCTGGCTATAGGAAAAGAACCTATTTTAAAAGTATTGAAAATACTGTTCACAGGATAATTCAAAGGAACGCTGAAAGTACAGAATAAGCTAGTATTCTCTTACACCCTAACAGTGAAATAGTTAAGCTTGAAAAACCAAGAATACTGCCGGGTTTTTGTCACTTAACACTGGATCATCTTACCTGCAGGTGTCCAGTCTTCCTCACTTTGTGTCTTACAGTAAATTCCAACCTAACTCTGCCATGTGCAAGTTCTTTGCATCTATCTGAATCTACTCACAATTTTTTTTCTTGTAAATGGTATAAATACCAACAGCCATTCTCCTCTTCTGAAATTCTTGTACCCCTACTACAGATGCTTGGGGAAAAAATGCAGGCAGGATATTAATCCAAAGCAAATTCAGCTTTTTATGCTAGCATAGAGGGCTAATGTAGCATGTTGACACTGAAGGAAAAAGGGCAGAATGATTGTCTAGGCTTTATAAAAATACTGGTATTCTAACATGCTAAAATATATTTAATTTTAATTGAACTTGAGGTAAGAAGGCCCTCTGTGAGCACTACTTTAAAATATTCTTTAAATGCAGTAGTATTGCAGTCTTTTGATGACGAATAGGCTCTCTCATGATCTCATTCTAAATCACAGTTGCTCCTTAGGGGAAATAGTGGTAATTTTATGTAACTTCTGAATTCAGAGTCAATTAATTCATAGTAATTTCTTATCCCATCCCACTACATGGAGGAGAGCGCTAAATTACCACCATCTGCTCCACTGTGAGTGCCACAGGTTAAATCTGTGCCAGCGGGCTCTGCCTTAAGCCCGTACCCAAAGCCCGTCTCCGTTATCTCCCAAGGGGGATCTCTAGCAGGAGATCCAGGCCCAGCGTGCTCGGGCAGCCTAGTCTGTCCCCAGTGCTCAGACCATAAACCTCCTCTATTGCACCTGAAAGCACGGTGTTCTCAGGCAGCCATCTCAGATTTCCAGGAATCCTGCACATCAGAACAGCACTTCCATTGTCTCTGGACAATCAAAAGAAGGTTGTCTTTAAGTCTTAGAAGGGCTCTGTGAGGAATCATGGCTGCCAATCTACATGTCATGCTTAAGTACTCAATTGCTAAGACTTGCTCTGACACAGTAAATTATAACTAGGGAAGACGTTCAGAGCAGATAAGGATAACCGTCCTACTCTAGGTATTGGTCTAGTTTGAGGCAAGCATCCACATTAAGTTGATGTAAGCATCACCACGCAACTACTCTAGAAAATACGTTCCAAATGACAACATAGAAAACGTTAAGAAATATCTGGATATAAGGCACTTAAGTGAGACTAACAGACTGGCTACACATTTAAACAGACATTATGGCTCAGAGGTCCTTGCTCTGGAGGAATGAACAGTACCGTGCATGGAAGAAATGGCTGTTACATCAGAACCCACTATCCATTCATAGTAATAAGGCAGCATCGTGTACAAGGAAGCATAGCAGGGCATCACTGCTCTACCTACTTTGTTCTTTTTGAGTGGTATAAATAAAACTTTGGTCCACTACCACCCCTCCACCTCCCTACATGTTTACAGGCTTATTTCACAGAACAGCAGCATTAAGCAAAGTTAATTCTACAAACCACACGTACCCTGAGACTAGAGTACAATGAAATACTGACAAAAATCAAGTCTGGAGGAAAAAAGGGAAAGGTCTTACAGACTGTTTAAATTAATTTGCCTATGCAAATGCCTGTTTCTAACTTTTTCCAGAGTAACAAATCCAATGTTTCACAATTTTTTTTTTTAAATGAATCCAGCAGGAAGTACAATATAGTGGAGTTCAAGTAGTATAAAGATGGGTTTTTGTTAACAAATTGTTGATGTCAAACAGCTGGAAACCCAGGTTTGAACATTACACTTTATAGCAAGAACAAAAATCCCTTCACTCACTGCTAAAACACCAAAACCTTCCATCCTGGGTATGAAAATGAACATCCAAAATACAAAGAGACACAGCATTGATCAAGTACCCAGTCAAAGACCACTTCTCTGTTGTTAGAGCTAATGGTTACTCGGAGCTTGAAGTTTCCTCCCTCATTGCTGGAAGGCCCTAACTGCACAACTTCCATGTCAAACGTCACAGTCGATCCAGAAGTAACGGCAGGCAGTTGG